TTCTTTATGTGATTTTCATTCTTTTCATAGGTTTCCTATTTTTCTTATTGTCTTTTATTAGATTTTCACTTAATTCTCCCATTCTTCTCTCTTGAATACCTCATAATTTCAGCATCAGTTCTGATATGATTTTATATGATTTTTCTTTTTCCTCTTTTTCTGGGAGTTCACTTCTTTTTTAATTTATCCCTGTTTTTTCCTACTTCTCTTCTTATTTTTATCTTTATGCTGTTTTCCTATATTTACAATTATTTATTTGAGAGCATTTAATTCAATTTGTAGTGCTTTATTACAGTATTTCTCATGTTCTTTTGGGAGAATTTTCATTAGCTGAAATCCTTTATTTCACCCTTTCAGTTTCATTTATTTATTTTATGAGGAAAACTGGCCCTGAGCTAACATCTGTTGCCAATCTTCCTCCTTTTGCTTGAGGAAGATTGTCCCTGAGCTAACATCTGTGCCAGTACTTCTCTATTTTGTACATGGGATGCCACCACATCATGGCTTGATGAGCGATGTGTGAGTCTGTGCTTGGGATCCACACCCTTGAACCCTGGGCCGCCAAAGCAGAGTGCACGAACTTAACTACTATGCCACCGGGCTGGCTTCACATTTTTGGTTTTTTAAGTCTAGTTTTGTGTGGACATGGTCTGCTTTTTTCTATTGTGTTATTTCACAGAGTTTTTAGCATCAGAGTTCCCTCTTTGGTTTGTTCTTTCCTATTCCATGCAGTTTCTTTTGCAGATGATGGTGTGTGGTTGTCATGTGCCATTTCTTCATTTCTACAGGATCCTAATTATCCCTCTTATTTCCTTCTTTCTCTTTACTTCCACACCTTTAAGGAGGACCACGCTTTGTATCTGATTCTTCCCCAGGAGCATTGCTTTTCTGAGGCTGCCACTTCCAGTCTTGCTCATTTTCAGACCCCTTCCTTTTAACTGGTGCTGTGAATGACCAGGTCCCAACATGTGGTCAGTATTATGAATTTAGTTAGACTTTAGTTCCGGGAGTCATCTTGATCTTGTCTGTTTGTCTAATGTCTCCACCCTGCTTTCCCTTTTGTGCCTAGAATCCCATAAGCATCTTCCTCGCTGCTCTCTGTACCTCAGGTTTGTGGCAACAGGTGGCAGGTGGTGTGTTGGAATTGGCTTTATTTCTTCACTTATGGGTCATTTGAATATCATGGTGTTCTCTGTCTTGATCCTGAAGGCCTCTATCACGTGTGGTTTTCTTTCCTCTCCTTGTTGCTTTTATGGTTTTAAGGAAGGTTTTGTGGGAAAATTTGATAAAAATATCCTTAAAAGAGAAGGAAACTATCCATAGATATATAATTACAATGCACACATTCCTTTAATGAGCATTTATGAAGCATCACTAGATATCAGGCAGGAGGGTAGGACTGAGAAGATAATCAGAACGTGGTTTCCTGACATGAATGTATTTGCAGGAAGACACACAAATGCATAATGATTAAAGCAGAGTGATACTCATCAGAGAACAGCACACAGAGGAAAGGCACCTGCCTGTATGACAACCTCAGAGAAAGGTTCACACGCTTCTTCTTGAGCTGTGTCTTGAGAGATAAGTAGCTAGGTAAACAAGTTAGGTAAGAATATCCCAGGCAGAGAGAATAAGTACAGAGCCCTGGGCTGAGGAAGAGCATTGTCCACGGGGTTCTTTATGTAGAAGTAATAGTAGTGAGATTGATGAATGTTTATCAGGAACAAAATCATGAAGAACACTGCTAAGATGAAAGGATGAAACCTGTGAAGGAGGGAAAGGCCATTGTTCAATTTTTGCTTTGGAAACATCACCCTATTGGAAAGAAGGAAGGTAGTTTAGAAGGATACAAGACTGAAGTCAGCGAAGTAGGAGGCTGTTAAAACTTTCCAGTAATAGATGTTGAAAGTCATATCCAAGCCACTCGTGACAGGAAAGAGAGGGCACTGTGGATTAGAAAAAGGTTTTTATGACAAAATTTCTTGGACCTAGTAGAAGATTGGATATGGAGGATTAAAAACAGAAAAGAAGGCAGGATGTCTTGGGGTGCCTAGAAAGAGATTTAGAATATAAGAATTCAAATTCCTAGATTTCACATATTTTCTGTTATCTCTACACCAAACTTAAGTTCCGTGTCCAAATCTTTGTAAATAGTTTTACTGCCTTTTTTGGGGCACTGATCATTTTGTCATAATAGATTATATTTTTTCAGGAAAAATGGAAATGCCAAGGTTGCAATCATTGGTTTATCCGTCTTCAATTTTATATGCCCTCTGATCCCAATTTTTCTTTCCAATTCAAGAGCTTCATATAATTTTTCTTTTGATAGCACCTATTTTGAGTGGCCTGATAATTAGAAATAAAATTGATGTTCTGCTATATAGCAAATAGCTTAAATAAATGTATTTACAGTGATGATAATGGTGCTATTAAAATGCCAAGACATTGTAATAGCTAAGCTAAGTTTCTCAGATGTCTGTGGATTCACTATAAAAATGAATCTCTTTAGACTGAATGTTTGCCTTTTTTAATTCATTCCTCAAGCCTGTATTCAGTTCAGTTCTATCATCATTCCTTTGATTATGTGCTGTGCCTCAGACTAAGTCCTAGGTCCTAGGAATACAAAATTAGATGAGTGCCTTCTCACAAGATGTCTCAACCAGAATTAGCGAATGTCTTCTGCCTACCGAATGCCATGCTAGACGGTCTGGGGCCACTGTTGAGTTGAAAGTCTGGTCAGTTAAATGGACAAGTTGAGAAATACCACAGGTATAAATATAAGGCACACTTTTCTAAAATATTAATACTTAAAACAAAGGGTTCTCCTTATATTTCAGTCTTTATAGAGTGTCTCATGTTATTAGATTTCTCTCATTTTCTTTGTTTTGAATAATAAGATAATTTAACACCTTAAATGTTATTTTAATAACGTATACATTTCTACCATAATACAGATCTAGGACCTGTCTCTTACTTTTTGCCCTCTTAAGAGATGGTTTAGTTCTTAATGTGTTGTTAAGATCCCTAAACCCAACGATTAGTAAAATAATTTCTATAAACCCTTATAAAATAAATGCTTACCTCAGTATTTCTCTTTTTGAGAATCTTTTTTTTTTGTGGTGAGAGAGATTCGCTCTGAGCTGACATCTGTGCCCATATTCCTCCGTTTTGTATGTGGGATGCCACCACAGCATGGCTTGATGAGTGGTGTGTAGGTCTGCACCCAGGATCCAAACCTGTGAACTCCAGGCCGCCAAAGTGGAGCATGTGAACTTAACCACTGTGCAACCAGGCCGGCCCCTTGAGAATCTTTTGAATATTAATTAAAAGTCTGCAGTTCTTGAGGACTGTTCTTTTCTAATTCTTATGAAATAAGATTCTTGAAATTTTAAAGGGAGAAAATGTAGTTCTTTAAAAGTAAGGTTATTAAAATATCCAATTCTGTATGAATTTCTGAAGAATTTTTAGGTTAAATCTATGGCAGTGGTATTAATGTTTTACAAAAATTATCGATTCTGTAACTTTTAAAGCATCAAATGGAAATACATATGGTGAATAGTAAATTCTACAAAATCAAATAATTTTCTTTTATTTTAGATTTTGATGTTATGCCATATTACAGTGTTCACTTTTTTTTTACAGTAATTGCTATAGTTCTCAGCAAAAAAAAAAAAAAAAGGAAAAAAGCAAGTTCACTCATCCTATGTGTGAGAAAACCAAAGGAAGTTGTGAATGGCAAATTAGCAAGGGGATATGATGGACTCATAATTTAGTTTCAATGTTTATAGTAGTTTGAAGAGCAGAACAAGGGAAAACAACAATGTAAAAATGTTTATTATGACTGGAAAGAATGAAAGATGGTACCAGCAGAAAGATGCCTGTTTAACTAGAAAAGATTAGAAGAATGAGAGGTTGAATAAAGGAGATTCAATAAAATTAATATTGGATATGAGAAAAATATTTTAAAATTTTATCATTGGGAGGAGCCGGTCTGGTAGTGTAGTGGTTAATTTTGTGCACCCCGCTTTGGTGGCCTGGGGTTCACGGGTTCAGATCCCGGGCATGGACCTACACACTGCTCATTAAGCCATGCTATGGCACATTCCATACGCTAATAGATTTATATATAGCATGCTACGTGAACCCAAGAGAGATCACATCTATCAGCCTAGGAAACTGTGGAAAGCCTTCACAGATTTGGTGAGCTGAGCTCTTTATGAATGAGGAACATGATTCTTTTTTTAAAAAAAAAAAACTAGTTTTTTGAGGTAGAGAAAATGACATTCTCTGGTTCTCTGAGGGATTCCGTAAGGGGGACTCGGTTTAAAAAAAAGAACAAAATAATTTGCTTGTGAGATTCGAACATTTATGCCAAGTAATGCTGTCACTTTTCAACTCTTTGTAATGCAAGAGCTGAACTGTATATTCTATGGAACTTTTATCAAGCTGTCACTTTTCATTCCTTGGTTTGCTACCCATCTCAATTCTGTAAGCATCCATCAGAGAGCCACACTTGAAGGAAGATAGAAGTTTATACATACACTCGCTTTCGCCTGCTGTGGTCAGAGTACATTCTTCAGTTTTAGAAAGAGAGAGAAAGCAAAGGTCGGTGCAGATTGTGAATGTCATTTTGATTTAAGTTAACTGCTAGAAGTCACACTGGAGAATCTTCTGCAGTTTATTTCAAAACGTTTAAACTCTTTAGAACTTTTCAAATTACCTTATTATTTCAAAATTAAAACTTAACTTCCGCTCAGTTGGCTTCCTACTTATATGCGTTATCTCTTTTAATCCTTCCACCAATGCTGTGGAGAAGCGTCATCCTGCATTTTATGATGTAGAAAGTGAAGTTTAGAGAGTTTAGCAGCTTGACCAAAATTACAGGGCTAGAAAGCGGTGGAGCCAAAATTAGAACACAGGCCTGTCTGAATGCAAGACCAAGCCTCCCTGGGCTGCATCCTTCTTCCAACCTCTGATTCTATTTTCACCCTCTTTCACAGGAATTATTTTGGAGAAAAATTTGGCATCTATTTTGTTTTTCTCGGATTTTACACAGAAATGCTGACCTTTGCCGCTGTAGTCGGCTTAGCTTGTTTTATTTACGGCTTGTTATCAATGAGCGATACATCAAGCAGGTAAGTGAGCTGAGTCTCCCGTGTAGAGAAAGTGTCGTGATCTTATGCTAATGGAACTGTTATTTCCCAGCATTTGTTTCAGAATGTTTCCTCATTGTAGCATATAATTCGTTTTTCCGCAAAAGACCCAAACATAGCAGCTACCCCTCATCTGGTGCTTTATGGAAAATCTGTTCTTAATGATCAGCTCTAAAGATTTTGTTCTTCAGAGCATGGCTTGACCTACTACAGAAATGGCTGTTTCGTTGCCCCCTCTGCCATATGTGAGAAGCTGTGTAAACGGTTGTTCTGATAAGAACTCTCAAACACGCATCATTTTTAAAATGACTTTGCTGTTCCGTCTGCAGCACTGAAATCTGTGACCCTCTGATTGGAGGCCAGATTATCATGTGCCCACTCTGTGACTTCGTGTGTGATTATTGGAGACTAAATACTACGTGTTTGGCTTCACAGGTAAGGATGTATTGTGATATGTTGAAAAGACTTGCAATTTCCCTCCTTTGTATTGCATCTGATACTAAGTACTCTTTGTGATGTTGTTTTTAAAGGTTTCCCATTTATTTGATAACGAGTCAACAGTGTTCTTTGCAATATTCATGGGAATTTGGGGTGAGTAAATAGTCATGGAAAAAACTTTCTCCACGTTATATGACCCATCCGTATAACATGTACCAATGGCATACCTTATGTACCAAAGGTAATTTTAGATCTTTGTGTCTTTGCTGGCATCAATACACTGATGGAGTCCACATCAGTGGTCTTTAGTCCTTGGTCCAAAAATGGTCTCTATTGATCATCTGTTCATTTCTCTGAGAGACAATATAATTTTTTTTTGAGGAAGATTAGCCCTGACCTAACATCTGTTCCCATCTTCATCTACTTTATATGTGGGACACCTGCCACAGCATGGCTGGAGGAGCGGTGCATAGGTCCGCACCTGGGATCTGAACACACGGACCCTGGGCCACCAGAGCGGAGCATGCAAACTTAACTGCTGTGCCACTGGGCTGGCCCCAAGAGAAATATAATTTTTGAAACTTTACGTATATTCAGCTCACACTATCTCCCAGCACTGTGGTAAAAACTCAATAAGTACTTAATTTAGGAGAGAATAAAGATAAATATTTGGTAGCTGCAAGATGTTGAGTCCCGGATACAAACTGAAACAAGAATCAAAAACTGCTGAGGGATAAAAATCAATGTTTGAGTCTGAATTCTCAGTGTCTAATTCTGGTTTCAGCTTCCAGTTCCATTTGTTGAAAATCTTCCATATAAAGTGGAATTCCCCTTAATTTTGGAAATGTCCCCGTAGTTTGTCTTTCTCCTTTCACACAGGAAATAGAAGTGTCATGAAGTTGTTCCTACCATCAGTGAAGAAAATATTTTCTGTAAGAATAACTCAGCAAGAGGAAGTCTGAAGACTTCTAAAATATGTCCCAAAATCTAGGGGACTCTGGGAAAAAATAGACTCTTTTTCTTTCCAATTAAAAAAAAAAGTCTTTAACAAACACAAATATATGCATTTAAAAACTGGGCAAGGGAGCAAGGGCATCTTGATCAAGGCAAAAAGGCACCAAAAGTTGTGAGTGTGTGTGAAGCAGAGGGCTTTATGAGTTTCTCTCACTTCTGCTTGGCTGTGGCCTGAAGAGAGCAGCCCAGATTCAAAGGGAGAACAGAGGACAGAGAAAGCTTACTAACACTTCTCCAGCAACCCCGAGTTTGGTACGTTAGTGTAGGGCCATCTCTTCATCACGTGCTGCCAAATCCTGCCTGTACCATTACTTGGAATCAGAAGTGAGTGATAGGCACACAAATTACGACAAATGTAATAGTTTTCAGCTGTTTTCACTGGGAGAGACTGTGCACCAACCCTAACTTACCTTCCAGCAAGATGGAGGAGCAGCCGTATGTGGAACACCTAGCATGACTGTAAGGATTCTGAAGGGCGCTGCCATCACTCTTTCAGAAAAGTTGATCATAGCAGCGAATTGATTTAGCTTTGGTTTTTGAGGGTCTTGGCCAAATTCTATGGAAAGAACTTCAAGGATATTTGTTTTAGTACAACAACTAATAACCAATTAAGCTGAATCAAAGGGTGAGTTGGCGGACTAGGTGTGAAAGAAAAGTATTCCACCTTAAAGAAACAACACTAATCCAAGGGGTCGAGACCTAAAAATGATGCGTAGCACGCTTTGTAGTGGATGGTAGGAGATAATTTTTTTTTTTTTAACTTTTTGGTTTATTTGTAATAAAAATACATACCCATGCTAGGAACTTCAAGCAGTGTGTAGACGCAGGGAGAAAATAATGTTAAAATTACTAGAAATAGAATCATTATTTTGGCAATGATTTTTCAGAATCTTTTACTCTATATGTGTGGGCACATGTGTTCATATAATTTTACATAAATGGTATAAAAATATGCATAGTTTTAAGCCTACTTTTTCTTCAACAAACAATGAGTGATGAGACTCCTTCCATAACAATAATATGTGGATGGGTGTGTGTGTGTATTTTAATGGAATATGATTGCCTTTTATGAATTTATCACACTTATCCACCCAGTTCTCTATTGGACATTTAAGTCACTTCCACTTTTATCCCCTCAGTTTTACTGAGATATATTTGACATATAACACTGAATTAGTTTAAGGTGTACAACATAATGTTTTGATATGTGTATATATTGCAAAATGATCAACACAATAAGTTTAGTTAACATCCATTACCTCACAGAGTTACAAATTTCTTTTCTTGTGGTAAGAACATTTTAAATCCACTCTTTTAGGAACTTTCAAATATGCAACACAGCATTTTTAACTGTAGTCACCATGCTGTGCATACATCCCCATAACTTAGTCTCATAACTAGAAGTTTGTACCTTTTGACCACTTTCACCCATTTCCCCCACCCACCACCCCTTTCCTCTGGCAACTACCAATCTGTACTCTGTTTCAATGATTTTCTTTAGATTCCACATATGAATGAGATCATACAGTATTTGTCTTTCTTTCTTTGACGTATTTCACTTAATGTAATACCCTCAAGGTCCATCCATGTTGTCGCAAATGGCAAGATTTCCTTGTCTTTTTTGTTGCCTGAATAATATTCCATTGTATATATATACTACATTTTCTATACTCATTCATCCGTCGATGGACACTTAAGTTGTTTCCATGGTTTGGCTATTGTAAATAACACTGCAAGGAAGCAGAGCAGATATCGCTTCAGGGTAGTGATTTTGTTTTCTTTGGATAAATACCTAGAAGTGAAATTGCTGGATCATATGGTATTTCTGCTTTTAATTTTTGGGGGCACCTCCATACTATTTTCCATAATGGCTGTGCCAGTTTACATTCCCACCAACAGTGGACAAGGGTTCCCTTTTCGCTACATCCTCGCCAACACTTGTCCTCTGGATGATAGCCATTCTACAGGTGTGTTTTTGATTTTCATTTTCCTGATGCTTAGTGATGTTGAGCTCCTTTTTGTGTACCTGTTGGCCATTTGTATGTCTTCTTTGGAAAAATGTCTAATAGATCCTGTGCCCATATTTTAATCCTATTGTTTTTTTTGCTATTGAGTTGTATGAGTTCTTTATATATTTTGGATATTAACCCCTTATCAAAAATATGATTTGCAAATATTTTCCCTCATTCTGTAGGTTGCCTTTTCATTTTGTTTATGGTTTTCTTTGCTGTGCAGAAGATTTTTAGTTTGATGTAGCCCACTTGTTTACATTTCTGTTGTTGCCTTAGCTTTTATGTCAAATCCAACTAATGATTGCCGAGTCTGATGTCAAAGAGCTTACCCACTCTGTTTTCTTTTAGGAGATTTATGGTTTCAGGTCTTACACTCAAGTCTTTAACCCATGAACCCAAGAATAGACAGAGAAGATTGTCATTTAGTGATACAATAGAAAACTATACACCAATGAAAAGAAATGAACTTTTGCTTTACACAGCAGCATGGATTCAGTTTACAAACAAACTTGAACCAAAACAAAACTTGACATAAAACCTACCATTTATGTAAAGTTCAAAAACAGGCAAAACTATCCTATGATATTAGAAGCTAGGAAACTAGTTAAATTTCTGGCTCAGAAGAGACATAAGGGAGGGTTTCTGGGGGTGCTGGTGGTGTTCTATTTTTTGATGCTGGTTTTTATTACATGAACGTGTTTATCTTGTGAAAATTCTTTCAATTGTGCAATTATGTTTGATATACTTTTCTGGAAATATATTACTCTTCAAATGAAAGTTTATTAAAATTGTATGTAATATATAATATATATTTGTGTGTACATATAAACATATATATATAGAGAGAGAGAGAGAGATTGTGCTGTGGAATGGCTCTTATGTTTTCTTTAAATTTCCCTAAGCCTAAGAAAGTGGTACAGTTGTGAATGATTTCAATAAACAGCGTACAAACAAATTCTAGATGTTAGTAAAAAGTTAAGTTTAAATGTTACTTCACATTATCTGAATGAAGAGAGACAGTAATGTGCCTGAAAAATTTTTTCTTTGCATGGACTACTGTCTAAGAAATTAACTTGAATTTTTCTTTTTTGCGGTGAGGAAACATCTGTTAGCTTCCTCTTTTTGGTGAGGAAGATTGGCCCTGAGCTAACATCTGGTTCCATCTTCCTCTGTTTTGTATGTGAAACACCACCACAACATCACTTGATGAGTGGTACGTAGGTCCACGCCTGAGATCCGAACCTGCAAACTCTGGGCTGCCAAAGAGGAGGGCGTGAACTTAACCTCTATGCCACAGAGCCGACCTCATAACTTGAATTTCTATATATGAGTTATTTCAACATTATTACATGTATTATGCCAACATTAATCATTTTATAATTTTATCGTCCAACTTAATAGTGACAGAACAATCATGCAGCCAAATGATTTTTAAAAGTAGAGGAAAACCCAGTTATTTTCTTAGTCACTTTATTTCTCTGTCTCTTGATTATAGTTGTTTTTATACATTTCTTTGCTTGTAGTCACATTGTTTTTGGAGTTTTGGAAACAGCGACAAGCTCGACTGGAGTATGAGTGGGACCTGGTGGACTTCGAAGAGGAGCAGCAGCAGCTCCAGCTGAGACCGGAATTTGAAGCGATGTGCACACACAGGAAAATGAATCCAGTGACTAAGGTAGATTAGGAAACAGAAATGGGCAGCATGTCTCAGTGGACACGCTGTTGTAGGTTGCCCCTCAAATAATGTGTATTTTAATTTGCCTTTAATATATTCTCCAACTATAAATCATATAAACTTCTTTAGTTGTTTCTAATAGATATTTCAGATGCATACAGAAGTAGATAGAAAAGTAAAATGAACCCCAGGATGGACCCCTCAGCCAGCTTAAATTAATACCAATTCTTGGACAGTCTTGTTACATTTATACACCTATTCCTCTCTGCCACTTGACTATTTTGAAGCAAATCCAAGACATCATATTATGAAATACATAGTTTTAATACTAAATGAAATAAAAAGAAAATGGAAAATAGTATCTGTACTGTGGGTTTTGTTTATAAATATGTATATGGAAATGATACTAAGTTAATATGCAAAAATTTAAATAACATTGTATTAAGATAGTGGGCTTATGAGTGATTGTTTTATTAGATCAAATTTTATTCACCTAATCCTTTTCAATTGATTATAAAGGGAAGATCATTGCACTGGTGTATGGGGTGGGGGGTAGTTCAGATTTTGAGATCCTTAACTGACAAACCAGCTGTGTATTGTTGACTGAGCAATTTGACTTCTTGGACTTCAATTTTTTATGTGAAAATAGAAGGTACTTTGCCTTCAAAGACCAGACTCTTGGCCACGTATTCTTGGAGCCCCTCCCTCTCCGTAACCTTACATCACTGTGTTACCAATGCTACTAAAGGGAGGGTAGAATATGTTTCTAACAGGTTCTGCAGTAGAATTCCCGACTCTGTTCAGGACACATTCTTGAGGTGTGATACTCAAAATTCTGTTCACACTTTAGACATTACTAAACCTTTACTAAATTGCATGGAAACATTACAAAAAATTCAGGAAATGAATAAAGGAAAGAAACACCTCAGAAAATACATTAACAACTTGGGTGGCATTTTGAAATTAAGAAAATATATTAAAAGAGATATTGTCATAATAATGACATGTGTATCTGTTCATATTTTATGGGATAAAAAAGTAAATTAAAAGAAGGCCTATTGGCTTTACCAAAAATTATTGACATAAAAACAAGATGTAATGAATGTTTACATTTGAAACCAGATGAAAAATAATATGTATTGATTCCCAGTGACTTATGAACTTCACTTATCTTTAATGGTTTTGAAGTCAAGTTTTTTTGACTTACTTGCAGTGTTTCCTCAGTGGTGAGTACAACCAGAACTTTCACATTTGAGTTTGTGTAGGGAACACACATATGCCTGCATGGACGCACACACGGACACACACATATATAATCACATATGTGCACACATATCCTGGGGTTTAAGAGAGCTCATGGACAGCCTATGCTGCCTGTTGAGTTCTGTTTGCATTCAGTTCCCTCTTAAATCCTTAAGGTATAAAATCTTATGTTTTAGATAGAATTGCATGATTTAGCTTTCTACTGACAACTATTTTTTTACCATATGGCAGTATTCTTTTGGGTAAGCTGTAACTGCCCCTTGATATAGCTAAGAATGTCAGTTGATATCATTAATATCTTCCATTAATGACTTAAAAAAGCATCAAGGGAGAACATCCTTGGCCCCTGGACTATGTGGAAGAACACAACCCTATAAATATAAAGAAGGCCCCCTATTTAATATCATGCCAAGCAATTAGAGAGCAACGCAATTCATCGCAATTCAACTTAATTCACTTAGAATAAAATTGTAACATCGTTAAAGCATCTCCACTCAAGCAGCAGCCCTCAGGGGTTGACTTGTTTCCTGGCTCCCAGGCCCTGAATACCACTCTGAGCCAACACTCAGGAACTAGTGTGTGTCCATCACGTCTCATCTGAGATCCTGGAAGGTTTCTCCTTAAAGGGAAGGAACCACTGTTAGAATGTAGTCTTCCGTGAGCTGTAGTGGAAGCTTTGGGGAAGTTTCTGCTTTCGGCATTGTGATTTTGACTGCTACTTGGAGTCCCAACTTTGAAGTAGACGTTGAATTTTGCTGTGATTTCTTCAAAATTATAGGAGATGGAACCCTACATGCCTCTATGTAGTCGTCTTCCATGGTACTTTTTGTCAGGAGCCACGGTGACATTATGGGTAAGCGTTCTTTAAAAACTGATATCATCTCTGACACGCAGTCGTATTAGGATTATCTCCACAGTTTCATCTGCAGGAGCTCTTGAGTCCCTCCCTCCCCCGTCCTTTTATCTTGAATAGAGCTCTTTACAAAATGAACCGTAGTCCACCTGAGTGTGCCACAATTGAACCTTGGAAGAAGAGCTGGAGGGAGAGCGAGGAGCTTTGTCTTAGAGCCTGACTCTCTCCCCTCCCAGCTCTTCGTTGATTAGGGGAGAATTTGAAACCAGAACAGTATGACAATTTGCAGACTCTGGTTAGTTTTTAAAAAATCATTCATTTATCTTTATCTCTACTTAAAATATCTGCAAAAAATGAAAGAAAAAAACTCCCATATACTATTGAAGTTCACTCTCTTGCTGAGATAAACAGAAGAAAATCTTCCTTCTTCTCCTTGAAAAATTCAGTTGGCTTATCCCATGTGAGGGAGTCGGGTTTTCTCCATGCCTTTTAGCCATTAGATTCCCCCATCACCATAATCTATTTCCTGCCTTCCCTTTTCCAAATTCGTGCCCTCCTACAGGCAGCCTTTAATTTGAGGAAAAGAGGTCATGTTACCCTCTGACAGTTTAGCAGGTTGAAATATCATTAGCAATTGTAGATTATAGTTTAACCTCACCATCCATATTGTCTCATGATTTTTTATCTTTGGCATTTAGCATTTGGTGAAGGTATTAATTTTCCTATTTTAAATGCATTTTCTTAGATGATATAACAATCATGGAGGAGAGATGGCAGAATAAAAGGGGGACAGTAATCCATTTGGAATGCTCCTTGTGAATTACTCTGGAGTCTGGTCCCAGAAAGATTTTTCTTCCTTTTGTTTTCAGTACTCATTCAATCTGAGTCTCTTCCTCAACTTTCAGAATAAAACTCTCCAATCATCTCTATAAAGCCATCCCTAGATTTTTGTGTTTTTGTGGTTTGGAAAGTGTATAAAATTTATGCAGACTCTACACAAATATCTACACTACCAGGCGTATCAGACCACTAATGGCAACATTCCAAGAGGAAATGAAATAGAATCTTTAAATGTATTTTTCTCTGGGAAATAAGTGATCTTCACACCACATGTTTAACTCCAGCCTAGAGCAGAGGTTGGCAGACATTTTCTGTAAGGGTGCCAGATATATTTTAAGCTTTGTAGGCCACAAATAGTCTCTGGCGCACAATTGTCTTTATTTTTCCTCATGACCTTTAAAAATGCAAAAAACATCCTTAACTCCAGGGCCATCTAAGAGTAGGTAAGGCCATGGGCAGAATTGGGCCTTCTGACTAGTTTTCCAGCTCTTGCTAGAGGATGGGCAGCCAGTAGATTTCTCTTTTAGACTTCCCCAGCTGCTGCCATATGCCTCATCTCTAACCCTTTTACTTTACTGGTGTTCATTTCCCGCCGTCTGTGGGGCGAGAGGCTGACTTGGTTTGCTTTCCATGTCAGAGCTGCTGAACTTAATGTATGAGACAAAGAGAACAGTGTGTTGCAGATATGTGTGCATCACAGAGACACAGAGACCTGGGTGACCAATTCGTTGTTTCTCTCCCCTAGATGTCTCTCGTCATCGCGTGTATGGTAGCTGTGATTGTATACCGCCTGTCAGTCTTTGCCACGTTTGCCAGCTTCATGGAAAGTGAAGCATCCTTAAAGCAGGTCAAAAGTTTCCTCACTCCCCAGATAACCACCTCACTCACTGGATCGTGCTTGAACTTCATTGTCATCTTGATCTTGAATTTCTTTTATGAAAAGATATCTGCCTGGATTACAAAAATGGGTAAGTTGCCCAGAGCGTTAGTGTGACTCTGAACAAGGGTCCCTACCAGTGCTCTACATCCATTTTGGATCTTCCCGCAGGGAGTTCATTTTTTAAAGGCACACTTTAAGGCAGTTCTACTCTATAGGTGGACCCGTAGCCCGGTGCGGCAGAATCACCTAACAGCGACATTCAGGCCCATCACAGTGGAAGCAGGAAGAAGAACTAAAAGGAAGAATTAGGATGCTGTAGATCTTTTTGAGTATTCTTGTCTTAATTCTCCCTTGTTAGGGCTAGCTGAATCCTAAGAAAAATCCTCACTTTTCTCAAGACATAATTTTTATTTCATGTGTGTGGTATTTAGAAGGTATTTGATCTTGCAAACGATCATGAGAAAAACAGAACCATTAGCTCCTCCTGAAGAAATCTAAAATTTCGCACTTCTCTTTTCAGTTGCCATGTCTTCGAACCTGGATTATTTTCTTTTAGAAAATGTTAAAATTTCTCCTCAGGCCGTGAGGGGAGGAGGCGGGGTGACAGGTGAAGTGGGAGTCAGTGAGGGAGGGGAGCGCGGAGCACAGGTGCTTCTGGCCCTGCCCCCGCCACTCGGAAATAAGGTCAGAGACTCTCCTGGAGGCCTCAGCCCCTCTGAGCACGCTCTCCAGGAGCCGTGCCCGCCTCCAGACCTGTGCAGAGAGGTCGTGCCCAGTGGTACAAAACGAGCACGTCATTCCCTCAGCACTGGAGTGAGCACTGGGGAGCAACTTTCGTTAGACACTCTCCTCAGGTTTGGAGTTCCCGTCTCTCAATTTTACTTTTCTTGTGCTATCCGCAGCAAAACCATTCATCACAGGCAGCACCTGAAAAATCACAGCTTTTTTCAATGACAAAAATCACTTATATTCACATCAGAGATTTTGTGGGAATGCAGCTAAATTTCACTGAAAGGGAGAAGTTGCCTGTGTGTTTAGAGTAATCTGTATCACTCTCTCCACATTGCTGAAAATGGGATGGATGTGGCTGGATCAGCTCATGCGCTTGGGAAATCATCAGCTCAGAAAAACACGCTCCCTTCCTCTTATCTGCCTCATGATACCCTGCTGTGGGGTCAAGAGAATCTCATATTTTCTTGTCTTTGGAATTCATTAAATGGTAGATCATGCATTTTAAATAGAGAGGGAAATGTGTGCTATAACTGCCTCCATTTGCGTGGCATTGTTTTCAAAATTGATAGAGCCAGTTAATTCACGAGAGGAAACGCAGTTCGGTTTGGAAATCATCCCCTGCCCTTGATAGGAGTTTGCTTTGTTTAAACCTGATTGAAAACACACGAGAGAGAGGGAGCTGATGTGTTTACAGGACATCATGTCCTGTAAGGGGTTGAGTATGAGGCTCTGTAGTCTGATATGGGTTTGAATTCCATATTCTGACTGGGTGACCCTGGGCAAGTATTTCACCCCTCGAAATGTAATAATGACAGCTTCCCAGGCTTCTCCAGTGATAGAGTAATACAAAGTCTCTAATAGAAAGTCTGGCACAAAGTCAACAGTTACTTACTGTTGGTCTATTATGGGTGGAGTGGGGATCATTGCAGCAGGCTCTCAGAATAAGATGAGTAGATAGCCGCTTGTCCCAGGAAGTATGAAATGTAAGGAGAAACAGGAAGGTACATCATTAAACTTTGGTGTTTTTTTACTTAACAGAAATTCCTCGAACTTACCAGGAGTATGAGAGCAGTCTTACCTTGAAAATGTTCCTGTTTCAGTTTGTAAATTTTTACTCGTCCTGCTTCTACGTAGCTTTCTTTAAAGGGAAGTTCGTGGGCTATCCCGGAAAGTACACATATTTATTCAATGTGTGGAGAAGTGAAGAGGTAAGAATTCCCTTGAGAGCGGAGATTTGTGGCTTCAGTAACTCAGTGTTAACCAAATGCCTTCTGTGTGGCCACCGCTAACTCCAATATTGTCAAGTTGCAAGAGAAGTGTGAGATGCTGATCCTGTCCACAGAGGGTACTAGTCTTAGAATCCGACCATCAGATAGACTTTCCAGTTTCTTCTGGACAAGAAGTTATATTATGCCTATTGTTTGGCAGTAAAACGAGCTGTGAAATGGGATAAGTACGTTCTGTATAGCCGACGGCTCCCCGCAAAGGATGAATGACAACTTCTGGAGCTGTGGCAGAAAGGGCTCCACCAGGAGTTACAGAGTTAGACCAGATCAGTGCTTTCCAAACCTGCCTGTGCATCCAAATAAAGATTCAGAATTTTCTAACAATGAGACTCAGAGATCCCCAGCTGAATCTAATACAGCTATCCTGGTGCTGGTCTGTGGTCACACTTGGACCTATTGAGCTAAATATCCCTTTGCTATCCATGCCAAACAAAATCTTCAGGTTCTGATCTTCTGGTTTGGGATTTCTTTTGTTGCAAAAGTCCATCTTTCATCATTCACTTCTTTTTTCTCTTCTTGCTTCTGACTAGTGTGATCCTGGAGGCTGTCTGATAGAATTAACAACCCAGTTGACCATCATAATGACTGGGAAACAGATCTTCGGAAACATTAAAGAAGCCATTTATCCGTATGTACGACTTAGAAGCTTTTGCTTAATTTAAGTAACCATGAGAGATTTCCTCTGGAAGAAAATGGAATTCTTTGATTATCATGGTGCTTTTGTTAGCAAATATTTTAGTCAATAAAAAAACTTCATTTTTAATCAACAGTCAAGAAGGAATTAAGGTAACAGAGCCTTTTAAATATGCATCTCTACTGAGTATCCACCTCTCCTGTGAAGGTTCCACTGGAAATCTAGACATTATCTCCGCTGTAGATTATTCTATGTGATGCACATTATTCTCAGGATTACTAAGCATTGAACTCTGTAAACAGATCTATATGTCATGGACACACCTAGGCACAAAAATTGGTTGTGAATGAAATGCTGGTATGTGAAGAGGTTGCTCTCTGTTCCGAAAGCACAGCAATAATGAATACATTATAAAAAGAGACAACCAAAATGACAGTTGATCTTCAATATAAGATGAACATCCCCATGGATAAAAAGAGAAGGCTCATACACCTGTGGTCCTGCAGGGCTCCTTGTTAGGAAATGACAGTGTCGGGTTCTCACACCTGCAGCGTGAAGTGGATTAAAATGCCCTGCTTAAGTCGGGGGATGGGGCAGCTTCACTACATGTACTTGAAGCCAGGGACTGGGTTCATTCTCACTTATTCATGAAAGAAGCTTGAAAAGATCCTTTCCCTCTGCTGCCCTGGCACAGTTCCATGTGCTCCCGGGCTTCTATTTCATGTGCTGACGAAGGACATAGACATCCTTTCAAGCAGTATTTGATCCACGACATTCCTAGTATTGCCACAGAGAAATAACTCCAAGCCGTTGTTTTAAGTGCTGGCTCCAGATTGAGAACACAGAGGACAGAATGGAGGTAACCCCTAAACCAAACACAAGGGAGGCGATAAATATGCACAGACAAGATAAGAGACAGGCAGACAGGCGAGTAAAAGAAAAAAGAAACAAGTAAAATTAAGCCTACAAACCAAAATTCCAAAACTTATAATGAGATTTAATGCTACAAAGGCTGCTAACAAAATCAAGTTTTAGAAAGTGAACTTACTTTATCTAGAAGATTCTGGCAAAGTCTAAAAATATATGAGGAGGTGATATGTCATGAAAAAGGATTAGGAAGTCATTTAAGTAAAAACATATAAATTAAGCAAGAACAAATGAGTATAAAAAAAGAATCAATTGCACGTAAATGAAAACTGGTACTTTAAATAGAGTAGAACAGATGGGATCAGTTACACACTGGAATGGAATTTGTATGCTGAAAGGTTATTTTGAAATCTATATGAATGGAGAGAAACATTGTATTCATGGATTGGAAGACTCAACCAATTATCTCCAAAATTGATATATAGATTTAATGTTATTCCAAGCAAAGTATCAAGAGGATTTTTGTAGATATAGACAAGTGGATTCTAAAATTTATATAGAGGGCAAAGGAACTAGAATAGCCAAAACTATTTTGATAAAGAAGAATAAAGTTGGAGGAATTACACTACTTGATTTTAAGACAACTGTAAAACTATATTAGTTTTACAAGACTGGGATTGGCAAAGGGATAGATTCATAGATCAGTGGAACAGAGTAGAGACTGCAGAAATAGAGCTACATACATATGGCCATTTTATTTTTGAGAGAAGTGCAAAAACAGTTCATTGAAGAAAGAACAGTCTTTTCAACAACTGGTGCTGGAACAAGTGGACATCCATATGCAAACTAACGAAACTCGGTGTGAACTTTACACCTCATTCAAAAAATGAACTCAAAATGGATTATAGATGATAAAACTATTTTTTTTTTTTTAAGATTTTAGTTTTTCCTTTTTCTCCCCAAACCCCCCCGGTACATAGTTGTGTATTCTTCGTTGTGGGTTCTTCTAGTTGTGGCATGTGGGACGCTGCCTCAGCGTGGTCTGATGAGCAGTGCCATGTCCGCGCCCAGGATTCGAACTAACAAAACACTGGGCTGCCTGCAGCGGAGCGCGCGAACTTAACCACTCGGCCACGGGGCCAGCCCCGATGATAAAACTATTTTTAAGAAAGTAAGGAAGTGATGAGGATAAAATTCAAGATAGTGGTTACTCTGTGGGGATCGAGGAGTTTGTAGTTGGAATGGAGCACGTGGGATTCCTGGCAAAGTTCTCTTCTTGAACTGGGTGGTCTCTTTTCCATTTTGACTCCAGTTACACACGTGTCCATCTGTCTGACATTGTCTCAGAAATCTCAGGGGTTCTGTTCCCTTTTCATTATCTTTTTTTCTCTGTGTTTTTCAGTTTAGACATAAGCAGTATATGTGTTCCTTTTAATCTGCATTTGCTAGAGTACTTCGTATTGTCTCATTGCTTAATTTTTGCCCATTTGGAGGCAAAATGATATCTCAGTCTGGGTTCACTTTGCATTTCCCTGAGTAATGACATGAATGAGCATTTTTTGGTCATATGTATTTCATCTTCAATGAAATGCTTGCTCATGTTGCTTAACCATTTTTCTACTTGTCTGTCTTTTTTTAAGTTGATTTGTAGGAATACTTTATAACTTCTGGTTGCTGTGTTTTTGTTAGTTTGTTTTAGGTTATATGTGTTACAAATATTTTATCGCAACATAAGTTTTGTCCTTCCATTTTTTTAATCGTATCCTTAGATCGCAGTTTCTCAACCTCAGCACTATTGACGTTTTGGGCCAGATAACTCTGTTGTGGGGGCTGCCCTCTGCCACGTAGGAGGTTTGGCAGCATCCTTGGACTCTGTCCACTAGGTGCCAGCAGCCCACCCTCTCGCCAGTTGTGACAACCAGACATCTCTCCAGACATTGCACATGTTCCCTTGTGGGCTAACTCACTCCTAGTTGGGACCCACTGCTGTAGATGCACAAAAGTACATCCTTCTGATATAGTAAAATTTATCCATCTTTTCTTTTATAGGTTGGCATTTTTTAAGTCTTGTTTAATAAATCCTTCCCTACCCCACGATCAAAAAGATATTCTCATACATTTAGCATTGTAACATTATTGTCTTTCTCGTTTAAATTCTTAATATATATAGAAAAGATTTTTGTGTTTGATGTGAAATTCAAATTTAATTTTTTACACTCATGCCCACATATATGTATAATTGTCATGTTACCGTTGATGGAGAAGCTCCTGTTCCCTGGTCTCTGTGATCTGCAATACCATTTATGCCAGACAGCAAGTGCAAGGCTATTTCTGGGTACCCATGCTGTCCCAGGGGTCTGTCCCTACACCAGTACTACACTCTCTTATTAATGCAGCTCTTTAAGTCTTGACATCTGGTGGGGAAAGTGTTACCAATGGATTGTTCATCTATAGAAGTATCTTGGCAATCCTTGATCTTCAGTCTTTCTGTATAAATTTTAGAAACATCTTGTCAGATTTCACATGGAAAAATATTTTGATTTTTTGTTTGAAATTAGATTTCAGTTGTTTCAATAAAAACACCTGACATTTTTATAATGTCTTTTTATTCATGAACATTTATTTGGACTTAAATGACCTTTTTTTTTTTTTTTTTTTTTTTTGCTGAGGAAGATTCTTCCTGAGCTAACATCTGTGCCAGTCTTCCTCTATTTTGTATGTGGGTCACCACCACAGCATGGCTAGTGAGTGGTGTAGGTCCGCGCCCAGGAACCAAACACAGGCTGCTGAAGCAGAGTATGCCAAACTTAACCACTAGGCCATGGGGCTGTCCCCTGCACTTAAATGACTTTAAAGATAAATTTAAACTTCTACATACACGTCTTATAAATCTTTTGTCAAATCCATTTATAGGTACTTTTAATTTTAGTTGCTATTGCAATGGTATCTTTTAAAACTTATGTTCTACCTGTGTTTTGTGGATGTATAGAAACGAAATATAGTGATAAACTCTATTATTATTTCTAATAATTTCTGTCTGACTTCATTTGGATTTTCTGTGCAGACAATCCATCACATCATTGTTAGTCATCATAGATTCTCCTTCACGTCCCCTTCTTTGCCTGTTTGTTTTTTGTCTGGTTGTGTTGGCTCAGCCCTCCAGCAGAGCCTTGAGTGTGACCATGCACACTCTTATTTTGTTCTTGATTCTAACAAGAATGCTTCTAACTTTTCCCTGTTAAGAATGATGTCTGCCCCAGGATTTTGGTAGATGCTTTTGATCAGATTAAGGTAATTTCCTTCTTTTCCTACTTTTCTGTCATAAATAGATTTTAATAGGTGCTGGAAATATATCAAATGAATTTTTCTCCATCAATTGACATGATTTTATGTTTTTCTCCTTAAGTCTGTTAATGTGGTCTATGACAGTGATTTTCTAATAAAAAACCTTTTTTTTTCCTTAAAGTAGTCCAACATTATCATGATACCTTATTTTTTATATAGTATGGATTTAGTTAGGTAATATTTTGTTTGGGATTATTGCATTTATTTTCATGTGTTACTTGATCCTCTGTATTTCCTTTGTCATACATTTTCTATTGTAACCAATTTCTCATTTCTTTGAGTGTCCTTCTGAGTAGCCTGACAACATGAAGGTTAGTGAATTACACAGAAAAAATGATCCTATGATGACCCCCTCCTCCACATGCTCTTTAACAGAACTCTCTCGGAATAAATGTATTTCCATGGGGAGAGTCAGGGATGTCTTATTTTCTTAATCTCCCCAATAAAGAACTTTGGACCTCAGCATGTGTTGTGAAAAGAACAATTAGATTCTGATTTGGACTTTAGAAGTAGTCATAGCTCTGCTTGCTCCGTGATCTTAAGTTACTTAATTTCCCCTTCTACCAAATTCTGAATCTAACTCTCTGATTCTCTGACCCCTGTTTTTTTTAACTCTATTTCATGTGTTTACTCTTGTCACTTCCTACAGCTTGATTCTGAATTGGTGGAGACGCCGAAAAGCTCGGACCAACTCTGAAAAGCTTTACAGTCGATGGGAGCAGGATCACGACCTTGAGACTTTTGGGTCTCTTGGGCTATTCTATGAGTACTTAGAAACAGGTAATTTTCTACCACTGTCTTGAAACACAGAGTCAGGCTGAGCAAAGTAAGTGCTTTTCCAGCTCTTAATATTTCTTCCTGCCTCGCACATAGTAGATGTTCAATAAGTTATTGGATGGTGGCTGAAAAGATAGATGGAGAATATAAAAAAGATTGGCTCAGTATTTATATTCCTCACCGATAGAATGAAGAATGATGTTTAGTTTCAAAACACCAATCTTAGAGATATTTTTCCTATCAGTTGGATGTTAATATTGTTGAACCAAGTAAAGTAAGGATCACTTTTTAACACCTGTCTCAAATTAGCTTAAATAGCTCTTCCTCCTTTTGTTTGCCTCAGTGACAGCTCAGAGAGAGAATAAGTTGAAAAGCATTTCTGGAGCCTGACACACGTTTAGTGTCAGGCTGAGAAGAAGAAGGGTAACAGCACTCGTGCAGCGGAAAGCCCGGCTGACCATGAGAAATGCATAAGGCATTCTAGGGACGGAACAAAGAAGAGATCTCGAGGTGGCATTTTAGGAGAAATAATGATGGGGCTGCTTGTGTAGTCTACTCAGAGTGCTTCATCTCAAGGGACCTTCTCTGCTTCTCTGGTGGAATTAGGAGGACAATTTTCTTAACTTACTTTCTAGGCCCATAAAATCATGGTGGCATGAACGAAATGATCTGAAATTATTTCTGATTCTCCACCGTAATACATACATATGATATCTGGATTGAAATAGGTAAATTTAGGACAAATAGAAAGAAGACTATTTTATAAGCTGCTTGTAAAATTAGGTAGTCCTTGCTTTATGGAGTGATAAGGCTGTAATTTTTAATTAATTATGTAAGTTTCAAATGAATTGTGCATAAATGCATTAAAGATAGCTGAAATTAAAAGATGAAATCAAGGTTTCATGACAAGATTACCATTTATTGAGACACATCTAAGAGTCAATTTATTCTGGATGTGTTACACATCCGTTATCTCTAATCTTGAAACATTCTAGAGAGTAGTCACTGTTTGCTGCATTTTACTTTAGAGGATACTGAAACTGTGATGGGTTAATTAATTTGCCATGGGCTGCAGGATTTTAGATACGGATCTGGGATTTGAACCTAGAAAATTCAAGCTGTTTCTACATGACGCTTCCTCTTAACCTATCGCTTGGTTCAGTAGAGAAGGCAAGAAAAGAGGGGGTTTGTTCACTTAGTTTAGTGACGACAAGACTGAGTTTTATAAGGCAGTCTCATGAGATAAGCTGAAATCTAGACACAACCAAGACCCATCTGAAATAGAGGACTAGCAGGAGATTCCTTCTTTCTTCTTTCCTTCAATGGAAAGCCATTCCTGTATCTCAGACTGTTTTTTCCTTACTTGTGTGAAACCCAGGCTGCCAGTTGCGTGGAGTCTTTTACCACAAGCATTGTTGGAAACAAAAGAACAAAAATTGGAAGAGAAGCCAGCTTCTACACAAGCGTTGAGTCTTAAAGAGGAAAGAGTAAACCTATTTAGAAAGATGTCAAGATAGTACATTGGATGAGGACCTCGACAAATACCTCATTCCAGAAAATGTGTATTTCCTTTGCCCACATATAATTTATGTTTCTGATGCTTTAGATCATTTTCTGATTTATTCTCAAATATCTTGTTTTGCACTGCCTTTTCATCTGTTAGCTTCTTTAAATCTTAAATAATGCATTTGTTGATAAGGCTTGTAGTTGAGTGCTTTTATATACCCAGCACGTGCTGGCCATTGGAAGCATCCAAATGAATCAGTCATTATCCTTGAGCACAAAAAAGTACATAGATTACCAAGGGAGTAAACCTTGATTGCCTCGCTGATGTGCCAATACCAGGATATAAAGGCTAGACCTGCATAGACCTAAACATAGCCCACTATAAAAGGCTGTGTTTTAAGAGGATTAAGTATATCCTATCTAATAAGAATGGACGCTTTCTTCAGACAAGCAGATCTCAAAACACAACAGTAAGGTCGGAGCTGAGCTATGCGTACGCAGTTTCTCTTTCCTATTCTAGCAAGCAGATAAGTCCCTATGCCTCCCACAGGGAGGAGGGAGTTGGCAGATGGAAGAGACCTGGACTGTTGTGCTGGTGTAGATCCCTCCAAAATGAGGGAAGTGGCCAGAGTTGGGTGGAGTGTCCCCTCTTTTCCCCTCCACGATAATGAGTGTGAATTTTTCTTTTTTCTCTGCAGTTATCCAGTTTGGATTTGTGACATTATTTGTGGCCTCTTTTCCTTTGGCTCCTCTTCTTGCTCTCTTGAATAATATCATAGAGATCCGAGTGGATGCCTGGAAACTTACTACTCAGTACAGGAGACCTGTAGCTGCTAAAGCTCATAGCATAGGTGTTTGGCAAGACATTCTTTATGGAATGGCTGTCCTTTCTGTGGCAACTAATGTAAGTGTACCTATTTCGGGGGTGACTTTGTATTTTATTTTGTTTTCCTGGGGATGGGGAGATGTGAATGATGCTTAACTCACTCTTTATTTACATTGATCTCTTCATGGTGACAATCCATAAAATAAAACATCCCTAAACTTCGGTGCACTAAACAACACAGAGAGATCTATGACAGACAAATTCTTAGAAATGCAAGGAAAATTATAAAATCACTCTTGTTAAAATACTATGATAACAGTTTCATAGGGTGTGACAAAGTAGACAGAAAATCAGTAATGGTATAAAGGGTTTGAGTAATGCAGTTAAAGCTTGATTATACATAAAGTTGTTTACTACAAACAGAGAATACACAACAGTTACCTATTACATTTATGGAGCACTTATTAACAATAATAATAAAACCAAATTCCCCAAAGCAGAAATTTTGCAGTCCATGTTCACCTACAGTAATGGTTTAAAAATTGAAGTTGATAATAAACTAGTTAAAAAGGAAAATCTAACTGCTCGACATCCACGCTTCTAAGTAAGCTTTATCGTATAAAAAGGAAACGAAATTGAAATTATAGAAAGCTTAATTAAAATGAAAACCTATGAGAATCAACTAAAACCACAGTTACAGAAAAATTCAGAGCAATAAATGCTTTCCCTATTAAAAAAGACTGAAAACCATGAGCTGAGTATATACCTTAAACTAAGGCAAAATGTAAAACTAATCAATAAAAAGTAGTAAGAATTAATAAAGATATAATCAGAAATAATCAAATTAGGAAACAAACAAAAAGCAATATAATTGCTAAATAAATAAAGAGTTAGTTCATTGAAAAGACAAATAAAACAAGCAAAACTCTGAAAAACTCTAACAAGAAAAAAGTGTTGTAAGGTGCAAGTGAGAAAATTATGGGAGATTGCTATGTAATCATTTATTCCAATACATTTTTAAAGTCTATTTGAAACTGACACTTTTTTAGAAAATAAAAACTGCCAAAATTTATTCAGTAAGTTATAGAAAACCTGAGTGCACCAATAGCTACAGAAGTAATATTAGACATTTTAAAAAATCTACCACTAAAAATGTAGATGGCAGAGCCAGATGGTTTTAAATTGACTTATCTAACCTAAAGGAAACATGCTATTGATACTATTCCAGAGCTTAGGAAAGGAGGAGAAAACACCATTCCGGGGGAATCAAATAGTTACTTGATTAATTGCACTGAACTGTGGGAAATTTACCAGCACAGGGTCTTCTGTCTCTCCATTCCCTCCCTGCCGGCCTCCTGCATGCGCGCACGCACACACACAATCACTGCCCTAACCTGTGGAGTTGGTCTAGGCAAGGGAATTTGGTTAAGGAGAGTGTGAACTGTACTGTGAAACAAGGAGAAATGTAAGAAACAGCAAGGCATGGTGGATTTAGGCTCAGTTTTCAACTTAGCTATGAAATTTTGGAATACGAATCATACACTGTAAATGAACTATTTTATCTTTTAAGCCGAAGACTTATAGATTAACATGATTTGTAATAACATTTTAATCATTTGGCATCCACATGGCACATGGAACTGAGAGATGCACAAATCGGATATTTTTAAAACTGGATTGTTAGCTCATGATCTCTCTCTTGCTTTGTCCTTCAGGCTTTTATTGTAGCGTTTACGTCAGACATCATTCCTCGTTTAGTTTACTACTATGCCTACTCAACAGATGCCACTGAGCCCATGAAAGGATATATCAATAACAGCCTGTCGACATTCCTGATCGCTGATTTTCCAAACCACACTGTACCTTCAGAAAAACGAGACTTCACCACTTGCAGGTTTCCTCTTGTTTTCTTAGGTTTCAATTTTGCCCTTTAAATATATGTCTTAAGTTCTCTGTTTCCTTCATTTCTTATGATGTACAAGATTTACTTGGAGCAGTAAAAATCCTGGATGAAAAAAGTGCATCAGTTCTAGAATTCACACGTTGTGTGATTCTGATTTGGAAAAGTAGAATGTCCAAAAGTAAGAGAAAATTAGGGGTAGAGATAATATCAGTTTTCAATTGTTTCTTATTTTCTAAATTTATTAGAAAGACTTCTCACCAAGAAATGCCCCTTGGTCCCAAGTTGTAATATCTATAGATCATACAGCATGATCATTGTATATATGCATTTAATCTACTTGAATTTAACTATATATCCTTGAAAAGAGAGAGTGAGAAAGAGAAATAACAATATGACGAGTTCACCGGCCACCCCACCTGAGGGTTTCTTCCTCACGGAGAACAGGAAACTAGATTTGTGAACCTACTGTTTCCACACTCAGTGTATCATGTACTAGGAGGATCTTTTACTCTGGGATGGAAAGATTATATTTCCGTATAATCTTTATATAATATATATAATTATATTTTACTACATAAATATATATATATATATATATATATATATATATATATATATAAAACATCAAAGCCCCTTAACTTAACTCTTAAACCAACAGCTTCATCTGGGATTCCAAGACAGAAACAGCAAAATGTTGCAACACAGGTAGACAAAATCATTGTTATAGTCTATATTTGCATATAGAGGAATTATAGGATAGTGTTTAAGAGCATGGACACTTGTGTCCGATTTCTTGATGTCATCACTTCCTAGCTGGACTAAGTCTTTGAAGAACATCAACATCTCGCAACTTTGTAGAAAACAATGAGATTACCAAGTTGAGCACTAAGAAAACTCCAGAAGGATGGTAAGGAAAACAAAAGCAATGCAACGTCAGATAAGCCAAGAGAAAATAGAGTTTCAAGAAAGTAGATGGCCCACAATGTCAAGTCCTATCCTTGAAAGATCAAATAAGATGATGATTAAAACGTTCCTTCAATTTAATGACAGGAAACAGTTGGTTTCCGTGGAGCAATGGGTAGAGCTAAGTATGTTAAGGAGTAGGAAGAAAGGGAATGGAGACCACAAATTTTGCTGACTGGAGAAATTTGTCTCTGAAGGGCAGGAGAGAAGTTTCGCTGAGTCTCCCCGTCTCACGTGAGCTGCATCAGTACTCTACATAAGTAACGTATGGCCATGATTTTTATCCATACAAGAAAAATAAATGTTTCATGAGAGCAGTTATCCTCCTATGACTTGACTTTTGTGATCAACTACAAGGGTCTTAAGGGAAATAACAAGAATTTCTGCTGGGCCTCGCTGTTTGAAGTGATAGCTCACTTTTGCATTTACTTGTATTTTTCAGATACAGAGATTACAGGTTTCCTCCTGATCATGATCAGAAATATTTTCATAATATGCAGTACTGGCATGTCCTTGCTGCCAAGATGACCTTCATCATAGTTATGGAAGTAAGCCTGTCTTAACTTTCGTTCTAGCTAGTCTGTTTTCTCCTTTTAGGCATGTATTTCTAAAAGTATCTGCTCAGCAGAAAAATTAGCATTATCTCAGTAAATTGTTTTGAAATAAGTATTTGTTGTCACAAAAAGCAACTTAGAGATATTTTCAGTACAATGGATTGCCTGTTATTCACTTACTATTGCTGACGATATTAAGGTGACAGGAAAGAAAAGAAAAAATATGGCCTCTTCCCTGGAGTTCAGGAAAAGGGCAGAGGACCCACTGGTTTTACTGAATACCTATTGTACACTGGTGCCAGAGGCTATGATAGCAACCTTGTAAGTTAGATTTTATTATTCACCCTTGAAAAATGAATCTGAAACTCAGCAAAATTAGGGAATTGGTTTAAAGATAATCAGCTAATATTAGCCCTGAGTTTCAACGCCAGAGGTCTCACTCCCAAGCCTCTGCTCCGCCCACCATGTTTCCTCCCTTGTGGACTGTCTCGTCTAGTTATGGATGTAACGCATGCAATAAGAGAGAACGGACACAGAGAGGGTGGTTGAATAAGCTACAGACCATCAGCCATGTGGCCAGTGAGGGAGAGAGTAGATGGAAGGCATTTTTTCACTTTCCAGCAAAGCTCAGTAGTAGACAAGTTAAATGCAAGCACACACAAATTCCAGTCAGTTTTTGTTCAGTTTATTTTACTTTTATCAAAGTTATACATGTAAATAGTTTAAAGTCAAATAATTCCACATGATGAAAAAAAGAGCAGTCTTATGTAATATTCCTGCCTGTGGTTTTCCTCTTTCTCTCTCAGTTCTTTATGAATTTATCACTCTTTCATTCCACATCTTCCATCAGAAGTTTGGATTACCTTTCACTCTGATAAATTGCCCCAAAATTCTTTTGATTTTTTGTTTTTCTTTCTTTATTTTTCCTTTTAATCTTTTGAATCATCCCAGGCTCTGTCTGACCCACCATCACCCTAAAACTTCTCTTCACCTTCTTTTGTATTGAATCCTGCATTTTCTGCAATCTGTGTTTCTCCCATTCTTGGGTTGCTTGCTTATTTCGATGAAGCGCATCTTTCAGTAATTTTCTGAGGAAAGTTATAGGCCATCAATTTTGAATATTGAAAATTTCTTTTCTTTCTTCATAGATGATTAATTGGTATAGAATTCAAGATGAAAACTCATTCTCCCTGAAAAAATTTTAACCGACTTTATTTAGGTATTCCTGAAGTTTTTTAAGACATTGCTCTATTTTCTGTCAGCTTCCAGTGTTGTGATAAAATCCACTGTCATTCTGATTCCTCAGTCTTTATGATCCTTTCACAAATCAATAAGCTTTGAGCATTCTTTCACTAGCCCTTCTTTTATGAAGCTTCACAAGACAGTGCCTTGATATTGGACAACATTTCGTTGCTCTGAACACTCACTGAACCCTGTGGATCTGAAAATTGTGCTTACACTTCAAGTTGGGAAACTTGCCTGTGTTATTTCTTTGATAATTTCCTTCTTTTCTCTGTTCCGTCTTTCTGGGACTCCTATTATTCGGATGTTATACTTCCTGTTTTGAAATTCTAATTATCATTTATTTTCTCTCCTATAAATGGAGGGATTCATGGGGCCAGCCCCGTGGCCAAGTGGTTAAGTTCACGCGCTCTGCTACGGCAGCCCAGGGTTTCCCTGGTTCGGATCCTGGGCGCAGACATGGCACCACTCATCAGGCCACATTGAGGTGGCGTCCCAGGTAACACAACTAGAAGGACCCACAACTAAAATATACAGCTATATACTGGGGGGATTTGGGGAGGGAAAAAAAAAAAAGAAGATTGACAACAGTTGTTAGCTCAGGTGCCAATCTTTGAAAAAAAAAAAAGTGGAGGGATTCATGCTTTTGTCTTTTTATTCTACTATTCTTTTGCTTCCTTCATTACCTCTGTTTCCCCTTAGTTCCTATTTCTGTGTTTCGATCTTTTTCTTTCATGTTAGACTTTCTTACATATTTGGTGGTTCTTGGCAATCTGCTTATGTATAAGAGTCAAGCAGTGCATGCTGACTATAAGCTTTGTGTGCATACAGGGGGAAGGTCTCTTGCATTTCACTGTAGGATGATAAGGTAGTGAAGGGACTTTTTCATTTGAGACCTACAAAATTTTGATATCTGTAGTTCTAATTTCACAGACTATGTCCCCAGAGAAAAATCCTCTAACCGCCTGTCTGTTGAGCCATCTCATGGCTGCCTGTGTTCTGAGAGCTGAGCAAGGCAGGAGGGACTAGGGATCCTGGGATTCAGTGTGCCAAATTCCACTTAGCTGCCCTGTTTTCAATATGGCACCGCACCTCCATCCTCCACTAGCTTTGGTGTCCCTGAGTCCACAGCTTTCTCTTTTAATTTCTACAGAAAATAAATTACTCAGTTACTGCCACGGTGGGGTCAGAAAGTAGTTCCTGGATACGGATGGGAGAGGTTCTGAAAATTCAACTCCTCCTTGTACAGATTTTTAACTAATCCCCTTATTTTCAACTCCACCCACACTTATGCCTGCAGAGTCCTTAGGACCTTCTTTCCTGAACTTTTCTGATGATCTGAAACAAAATTGGCTTTTGTCTGGTTGGTTTCTACCGTCACCAAGTCACCAAATGCAAGCTTAGGTGCCAGCTTTCTTCACTCTCTTGACTCTGTTGTCACTGTTCCCTCTCTCTTCTTTTTGTCTTTGTGAGTTATACCATTTTTTTAAAATTCCCTTACAAATATGTTAGTAGGTTTTCAGGAGGGAGCATAGATAAACAGTATATTCAATAACTGTATTCAACTGGAATTTCTGTAATTACATATTTTAGTATATATTTGTTTAATGTTAATCTTTGTAGGAAAGTTCCAGGACAAGGACTTCATCTTCTTGCTTTTCCTTGTACCTTTTGTGTCGAGTATAGTTTATTGAATGAATGAAATGATTTGTAAGAACTTCCTGCTGGACATTTGACAAGTCTAACAATGTCTCTGATGTGCTTTTCTGTTTCCTCCAGCACATTGTGTTTTTAGTTAAATTTTTGTTGGCCTGGATGATCCCTGATGTTCCAAAAGATGTTCTGGAGAAAATCAAGCGAGAAAAGTTAATAACTATCAAGATTCTCCATGACTTTGAGCTTAACAAATTAAAAGAGAACTTGAGAACTAGTTCTGCTGAATTTTCCAAGCGAGTCATGATCCAAGAAAACCAAGTATAGCTGGGCAAGTCAACACTCTCATCACCATATTGAGGAGCAGTTGGTGGCCTGTCTGGCTGGACAACTCTCCCCTGGTTTTAGGGCCAGAGGCCAGAAGCCATGTGTCAGTTTTACCCCTTCTTCTTCTTCTTTTTTAACTCCAAAAGTTTTTGTATACTTTTATAGAGGCCATCTTTATGAGGTCGGAAGAATACCACTTGTCTGCTGCATTGGCAGGGCCCTCCCCAGATACTGTTTTCTGGGCTTCTATAAATGATTGTTAAAAGTGCACATGGAATCAGAATACTGGAAAATCATGGGATGTTGCAGCTTAGAATTAAACACTGGACGTGGGCTGTCCCATCGCCTCCAGAGCCTCTGCACATTTTCATGGTCTTCTGTTGGGTTGTTTTATACCTCTTTCCCATCAAGAAAATGTTGGGACAAAAAGAAAAGAAGTCAAGAGGCCTACTGATCCATATATATCCTGCCATTTTAGACTATGCAAATGAAAAACCAAAATCACCTGACGTAAGGAAACTCACATATTAAAAATATTGGTTAGATATCATGGCAGGGGTTTGTTCCTGAAATCATCCTGAATAAGTTAAACTTCCATCAAAATCCCAGATGGTCCTTCCCGAGTTGATTTTTCAAGTGACAGAATGTTTGGTTTCCAACTCAAGACTAACAACTCAGTTCTTAAAAGATAACATCTTGGTAACAGTAGTTTCAAAACTGGATTGTCTTATCTGGAAAACAGCATTAAGAAGTGGTTATATTGCTTCAGGTCTTCAAGTAAATGAAAGACATTATAGAGAAGTAAATGTGTCTTCTTAGTGGTTAACAAATGCAAGACAATGTCTATTGATTAATTTACTGACCTTCATCTAAAAAAATCGTTGAATTATTTTTAAAAATCCTTTTTATTCTGCAATACCTATTTTGCATCATGAAGCCTGTTTGAGCATTAGTTATTTGTATAAGTTAGGTACAAGTTGTTTATAAAATTTGATCTCTTTGTTTAAAGAAATCTCAAATCTTTTAATGAATTGACAATCTTTTCTATTGAGGCATCGCTTCATACAACGCTCAGTGCCTTGTTCCTATGCCTTTGACACACAAGAAGTGTTATTATTGGCTGTTAATATGACATGGTGTAACATCTCAAATGTGAGCTTGTTTTAGAGAAATTATCAGTTTAACATCAATCCCAGAGTATAACACCAAAAAGGGATCAACCAAGTGAGAATGAGGTGATGGATTTGATAGCTAAGTGAAATAAAATATTTGTTGAATTCTTTCTTTCATACTTAGGCCTATGGCACATGAACACCAGTTCTTGTTCCTCTTTCCCAAAATACTTCATTTGGATTTTTAACACTTTAGAGTCAGAGATACTGTGCAGTTACATAGTATTTGAATCTGTAGTTTCAAATTACACTCCACTTTCAAAAGAATAGTGTTTTCTTAATTGCATACAAAAGAAGAAACTTTATCACAAGATGTTTTCTTTTAAAGTAGTGGTTCATTATTTAATGCTAATACATTTTTGTGAAAGTACCAGTATTAAGAATATGGCAGGTAGTATTAACTAATGATCAATATTAAGCATTTAGAACTGAGGATTATAAATTTTATAAGACCATGAGACAGTTACCCCAATATTGGTAGTAATGATTTGTCATCCTCTGTGTAGATTTTATGAACATTTTTGCGTCATTTGAAATTCATTATTGAAGAGTAGTTTCACATGTTGAGGAGATATATTTCTTGCTTGAGAAAATGAGTCAGTGTTGCTATGAAATAAGCCATGGATGCAGCATCTTTGGCTTGTGAAATTAAACTCTGTGTTACTACGATGTTGTACGTGGCACACAGCTCATATTGCTTCTTCCTGGGTGCTAATAAAAATAAGGAAGAGCATGGAATTGGTTTCTTGGATATAAGCTTTAATTTTTATGGCTGAACATTACATATAGAGCTAGATCGTAAGATAAATAAAGACAAATTTAACTCACAAAATTATCTTAAAACAAAGCAACTCAAGTGTCGAGTTTCGAGGATGTATGGAGAACTAACCAGGGAGAAAATAGTTTTCAAGAAAAGTAAATAGTTCCTATGATTGGGATATATTTTCCTTTTAAGATGTTATTCACAAGTACTTTATATCATGTTTTAATTTTCTACCAAAAAGTTTCTTCTTGTTTCACAAATTTTAAAATGAAATACAAGTATCCCTCATTTTCCTAAAAGCTTGCTAACCAGAATCCGAAGCCAAATCGATTCAAAGCAGTTTGTCTTATCTAATTAAACCCACTGGTCATTATGGGAGGGCTGAATCAAGAGTGCCTCACTACCAAATGTAAGTTGATATGTATCACCATGGCACACATGTGCATCTAATCAAACCCATAATTACTTTTTTAAGAATTGTTCCAAGAAACATTTGAGATCTTATTTGAAATAGTTTTAAGTGCAAAAGCCAAAAAATTCACAACTCTTTTCAGATGTCATCACCAATTGTTGCCTCCATCAGTTCTCTTTGCACACAAGATGCAGAAGCCACTTCAAAATATTTATTTTAGAAGAATCCGTCAAGAAGGGAGTGTCTTAATTAAATGCAATGCTGTCTCATTTTTGCTGCATCTCGTGACTCCTTTTGGCTGTAACACTCTTCTTTTAACGAAGCCATTAAGCAAGTTATCATGGAGAAGAAGGAGAGAAGATGAAGATGAAGAGGAGGTACAGAGGAAAAGAGATCAAAAAGGTCTCTCCTTATAAACCCACCCCACGCATGCTTCTGTGGGGGGAGAGGTGTCATGAGGCGTGTTGCAGCTGTGGGTGGTAAGATGGATGTCTCTGTCCTAAGCCATCTAATGAGGGTGAGAGAAACAGCAAAGAAATTTCAAATTGAAAACTATTATGTGTCAAAAGTGAAACTGATTCCGAAGCGATTTTGCAGCATTGAGTGCTGTGTAGCCCCGGATCTCTGTTGACTGACTGCAGCTGAGGGTGAGGAAGTTGTCCTGCTCATTCAAAACAAGAACTTACTGTTTTGAAAGGAACTCTCTAATAGTTGTTTTTAATTAGTAATAGTTGTGTTATCAAAGAATCTTATTAGGGAAAGTAGCATTTCAAATAGTACCATTGGCCAGGCTTAGAAGCCTGCTCCCATGATTCACTATAACTATCGTATCATTCTTTTTCTAGACACTTTTACGCTTCTACATCATAGGTAATAACTAAAGTATGTCGGTTCGTCCAGCATTATGTAAAAATTCATGAGAATATCAAGGATCGCATGGTTCAGTGTGTGTGAGGTACCTGCTTCCATCACCCCCAGATATTCAATTAGGTATGTCTTTCCTGTGAGTGATTATGTACCATGGTGTTCACCAAAACAATAAGTGCCCCTTTTCCTTTTCTTTCTTTCTTCTACTTTTTTCTTTTTTTTTGCAAGGAGCTTAGGGTATGCAGGTATGCAGGGAAATTTGTTCTTAAGTAACATGTACATAAATCTCAAGAGATTCAAATTCACTCAGTGAATAAAGTAATGCTTAATTTTAAACTACATTTTGATATGAATTCAATTTATTCTTACAGTAAAATGTTGATATGATTTTTCCGAATTTGAGTGCTCTAAGACGTTTTAAGTCTTTTTTTGTTTAGAAACATTAATATGCTTTGCATGTAACATGTTTCATGAAGTTACATTTGTCACATTTAAAGATGGAAATTCCTTGATGTAAGAGGCTTGATGGTCCAGAAAAATTGGAAAAGGTGGTAGGTTTATTTTGTTGCTTTTTCACTTTCTTTTTTCTACTTTGGGAGGGGATAAAGGTGTAGAGGAAGACCAAAAGGGGAAAATAGTATGTTGAGATGTTGTCTGATTTTTTTTTCTGGTCCCATCTTCCCCAAAAGGAAATTGGCAACCACTTTCATTAGAGTCATCTGGGCTCCTTGTGAGAAATGCATAGCCCTTGATCCTGCCCCAGATCGCTAGGAGAACAGACTCTATGAGAGGGGCTTTAGAAAATCTCCAGGGTTACCTTTTGGGGATATAACATTGATGAGAATTTCATAAAATGCCAAATTCTCTATCCTAAAGCATTTTTTTCTAATAACTCTCAAATATTCATTTATCATTCCAACCCATCAGGAAAATACGTCAAGTCATGTAGACTCAGGATTTCCAAATCTGTAGAATTGCTCTAATCCTGCAGTATGAAGAAGTAGTTGAAATCTTATACACTAAGAACCCTAGACCTGTAGTTGCTACTTTATTAAAAAAAAATAGCTTAAGAAAGGTAAAGATATCATGTATTTGATTTTACCAATATACTCAAGGAAATAAAGTGCATACTGAGCAGAAATTAAGGTGACTACATCACATTCTAAGTATTTGAAAGAAAGAAATAGATTCTCAGGATTTAATCTGGATAGCAAAGCTACTATGACTATTGTAGAATAAAGGATTTGTTATAGAAGATAGACCTTTTGAAATTGTGGGAGGAACTGGGAAGTAATGGTCTGGAAGGGAGATTTGAAGGGTCAGAGAAAAGGCGCCACTCAGCTTTCCTGAAACACTCCTGTAGTAGTGGATATCTAAGTGGATATCCAAGTGCTGAAATGAGACTGGGAAGGACAGCTAGAGAAGTCTGTGGCAGCTGTTGCTTCTGTAGAGCTATGACTGCTGTGAATTTTCAGCCAAGTTTCATTCATGGGCTTGGGGCCACTGCTGCTCAGGAAGATCTGGACATGGAGTGGAAAAGAGTGAGGACAAGCTGGAGCCAACTGTATGTCCTTCACCATGTCAGGCCTCGAAGACCTTGAGAGAGAAATAACTACTGCTTCACTTCTGTCTGCCTGCTTTGCAAATCTGACCTGACACCAAACAGGGAAAAGGCTTCTGGAAATTGCAGCTCCAGCTTAACCAAGTTGACATAGTACAAACTGCCGTATAGACCAAAAAATATTAATAAAATTATTGATCATTTGAACATTGTGATTAAAAAATAGACTTAATTTGCCTTCATAAAATGTTGTATGCAATGACTGAAGAACAGGAATTTCTTCTTAAGCACATTCTAAACATTTAAAAAATCTGACCAAAGGGGCTGGCCCCGTGGCCGAGTGGTTAAGTTCGCGCGCTCCGCTGCAGGCGGCCCAGTGTTTCGTTGGTTCGAATCCTGGGCACGGACATGGCACTGCTCATCAGACCACGCTGAGGTGGCATCCCACATGCCACAACTAGAAGGACCCACAACGAAATATACAACTATACCGGGGGGCTTTGGGGAGAAAAAGGAGAAAAATAAAATCTTTAAAAAAAAAAAAAATCTGACTAAATATCAGGCTGTTAAAAAAAAAAACACTGCAAATTTCAAAGGACTAAAATTAGTCTGATAATTTTCTCTGTCCACAATAAAATGAAACTAGAAGACAATAATAAAAAGATAACTAGGAAAATTATTTAACAAATTTTGAAATAATTTGATCAAAATGGAATTTAGAAGATAATTTTAATTACATGGTAACAAAAGTGCTGTACAGCTCAAATTTTGTGCATGCACTAAATACTTCCTATGGGTGGTTTTTAGGGGAAATATATAGCCTTTAATTAGGCTATTCAGAAAGAACGTGGACAGAAAAAAACAGGCTAAGCATTGAAAGAAGTTAGAGAACAGTAATGCAAATAGAAAATAGGAGAAACGAAAAATCAATTTAGAGGAGAAATTAATGAAAAGCATACAGAAAACATTATTCTTCAGGAAAACATGTTAGAGTCTGCTCCTTTATAATCAGCAATGGGAAATTACACTTCTAGTAATTATATCCTGGATTTTGCTCAGACCATTGAAACCCTTAGAACAACTAGAAAAATTGGGCAAAATGCTTAAAAAATTGAAAATATCAAGCAAATTACAAGGCAAAGGGGGACTTGTGGCATTATAGAATCAATATCTAGGAAAGGAGAGAAAAACAGTCAGAGAGTTAAGCCTGTGTTTGTGGTCATTTTTCCCTCAAGTAAATTGGAGATTCCAAAAGCTAAAGTAAAGCTGAAAGGAAGAGACGTTCAGCTGAGTATTCAGCAGTCTCAGGGCTTAGGAAAAATATTTAAGTTTAGTGTCCACCAAGGATACATAGCCCTGATAAAATTCCAGAGCTTTCTGTTGCAACATCACCTATAAGGACACAGAAAGGTTAAAAGTCACATAGCAGAAAAAAGATACTCCATGGAAACACTGACTAAAATAAGTGAAATAAAATAGATCTATATGTGTATCAGACAAAGTAGATTGTGAGGCAAGAGACAATACTAGAGATTGAGATATTTTATAATGAAAAAATGGTATTTTTTAAAAGAATACATAACTCTTCTAAATATGGACACATCTAGTAAAATGTATAAAAATATAGAAAAGAAATGTCGATAGAACTAAAAGGGATAATAAATACACAACTTATTTGAAGATGTTAACATGCTCTTAATACCTAGAAGACTAAACAAGAAAAAATATGCAATAAAGATATGGAAAATTTAAATAATGCAATCAATCAACATGGCAACTGAAATATAGATAAAATTACATCCGACAATGGCAAAATAAACATTCTTTTCAAATTCACATGAAACTTTTACCAAAATAGATTATATCCTGGACCATAAGTCATACCCAATTAATTTCAAAAAACAGAAATCATTCAGAGTATATTCTCTGACCATAGGGGATTAAATGAACCCAACAACAAAAAGATAATTAGAAAATCTCCCAAAATGTTTCTAAATTAAAGAACATAGTTCTCAATGCCATATGGATCAGAGAAGAAATCTCAATGGATATTAGATAACATTTTTTAAATTAAAATGAATATTGACATCTCAAAATTTGTGCAAAGCAGCTAAATCACTTTTAAGAAAAATATCTAGAAATCTTAATGCATACCTTAGAAAAAAATTATGGAAATCAATTATTTAAGCTTCTATCTCAAATATATAGGGAGAGAAGTTGGCAATATAAGCCCAAAGAATGGAGAAAAGAGTAAATAATAAAAGTCAATGAAGTAGAAAGCAAGCATACAATAGAGAAAATTAACAGACAAAAGTCTATTCTTTGAAAAAATTAGCAAAAGTGATAAATAGCAAGAAATGATCAAGAAAAAGAGATATCCCACATTACCAAAATCAGGAGAACATTTTCAGCACTTGGGAATAGGCAAAACAATAAGCATTAAAGAAATGATAGATAAATTTAACTTCTTTAAAATTAGGAAATTCTATTCAATAAAAGACAACATTAAGATTGTGAAAATAGGAGAGTGATGTCACCATCATGGCACAGTGAGCTCTCCTGGTAAACTCTCCCCTCTAAGATACAATGAAAAGGACATTCATATTCCAATAGAGGACATGCACACAACACAAAAGACATCTGAGAGACCCACACAGCCATAACCTCTGAAGGTGGAAATGCTGGAGAGCCCCTCCACTGAGGAAGTGGAACAAGGTAAGAGAAACCTCTTCCTCCCAAAGGACAGCAACTCAGGGACTGCATGTGGCACCAAGAGGAAAGGGGAGGGGCACTGGCCCTCCAAGGGAATGCCATTACTCTCTAGGTTCCCTCACAGCCCGAGGGAAAGCCTCACACAGAGGTTACTAGCTATCACAGGGATGTCTTCATAAGCTAACACCCCAGGAGAGCAGATAGTGAGAGCAGAGCAAGAAGCCCTTGAGACTGTGCAGAAGAAAGAAAGCACCCCTCCCCCCACGCCGTGCCCCAGTTCAGCAGCTGGGAGCTGAAATGCAGATCATAGTGGGCTCAGAATACACAGCTCTTGTCCACTCCTCATGGCAGCAAGTAAAAGCAGCAATCAAATACGACCACAATGCAGAACCAGAAATCTATGCCATATAGCAGTATGAAGAAATATATTAAATATCCAGACCAGAAGGAAAATGGCAATTGCCCAGAAATCAACCCTGAAGTCACAGAAATCTATACTCTAAATGACAGAAAATTCAAAATAGCTGTCATACAAAAACTCAACAAGTTACAAGAAATTGCAGACAGTTCAATGAATTCAAGAGCTACTTCACAAAAGAGATTGAAACTATAAAGATGAAGCAATCAAAAGTATTGGAGATGAAAAACAATGGATGAGATAAAGAAGAATATGGATTCCCTGAACAATAGAGCTGGTATTATGGAGGAACAAGTCAGCAATATTGAGGACAGAAATAAAGAAATGCTTCAGATGGAGGAGGAGAGAGAATTGAGACTAAAAAGAAATGATGAAATTCTCCGAGAAATATCCCACTGAATTAGGAAATGCAACATAAGGATTATAGGGATTCTAGAAGAAGAGAAGGAGAATGGAGCAGAAAGCTTGTTCAAAGAAATAGTAGTAGAGAAGTTCCCAAATCTGGATAAGGAGCTGGAAATGCAAGTGAAACACCAGTAGCTCTCCCAACTATATCAGTGTAAAAAGACATACCACAAGGCATATAGTAGTGAAGCTGGCAAAAGTCAATAACAAAGAAAAGATACTAAAGGCAGCAAGGCAGAAGAATATAACTTACAAAGAAACTCCTATTAGGCTCTCAGCAGTTTTCTCAGCAGAAACTCTACAGGCTAGAAGAGAGTGAAATGATACATTCAAATCTCCAAAGACAAAAACATTCAGCCAAGAATATTCTATCCAGCGAAAATACCCTTCAGATATTATGGAGAAATAAAAAACTTTCCCAGATAAACAAAAGCTAAGGGAGTTCATCACCACAAGAGCCCCCACCACGAGAAATCCTCAGGAAGGCACTCATACCTGAAAAAAGAAGAAGAAAGGGGCCACAAAACCCTCAGTAAGGACACAAATAAGTAAAAAAAAAAGCAGAAAATCGTAGCTGTCCTTCAGAACAGGTTAGCAAACACTCAAGTAAAACATTAAATAGAAAGAGAAAGAAGACACCAAAAATAAATATAATCTTGTCATTTTAACCACAAAGTCACAAGATGAAATAAGACATAACAAAAAGAACTTAGGAGGGGAAAAGGAAAGGGATGGAATCAGCTTAGTCTAAGGAAATAAGAGCTTATCAGAAAGTAGATTATCTCATCTACAAGATTTTTCATACAAACTTCATGGTAACCACTAAGCAAATAAGTAGGACAGAGACACAAATAATAAAAAAACAGAAAACTAAGAAAACTACCTAACCAAATTGGTAGTCCTAAATCCAGGGGATGAAAAACAAAGGAAATGCAGGAAAACCAGAAAATGAGCGATAAAATGGCAGCATTAATCCCTCATATGTCAATAATCACTCTAAATGTAACTAGATTTGATTCTCCAATCAAAAGACACAGAGTTGCAGGATGGATTAAAAAACAAAACCCAACAGGGGTGGCCTGGTGGCTCAGTGGTTCAGTTGGCAGGTTCCACTTTGGCAGCCTGGGGTTCACCAGTTAGGATCCTGGGTGCAGACCTACACACCACTTATCAAGCTATGCTGTGGCAGTCATCCCACATATAAAATAGAGGAAAATGGGCAGAGATGTTAGCTCAGGGCTAATCTTCCTCAAAAAAAAAAACACAGAAAACATTATCCAACAGTATGCTGCCTCTAGGAAACACATCTCAGCTCAATTGTAAAACAGGCTCAGAGTGAAGGGATGGAACATGATACTCCAAGATAATGGTAAGCAAAATAAAGCAGGTGTTGCTGTACTTCTATCAGGCAAAGCAGAAGTCAAGTTAAAACAGGTATAGAGAGACAAAGAGCAGTAGTATATAATGATAAAAGGGACACTCCACCAAGAAGACATAACACTTATAAATATCTATGCACACAACACAGGAGCACCAAAGAACTGTTAACTATTAACTATTAAACCTAAAAGGAGGTATTAACAACAACTCAATAATAGTAGGGGGCATCAACACTCCGCTCACATTAATGGATAGATCATCCAGACAGAAAGGCAAGGAAACAGGAATTAAATGAAAAACTC